GTTTATTATTTTGACCTGACCAACTTTTAACATGCTTACTGGACAAACTTAAATATCAGCCTATGTCTTAGTACTTGAAAAGTTCTTTATATTGATATGTAAATGTCAACACACAGTTTGTTCTGCCGTCATTGTCTCGCAATGTTTCTCTGTACAGGAGATTGGAATGATGAAAATATTACAAATGTTTCATTCGGGAATTCAAATAGCGCCATTTACCCTAATCATCTTCTTCTATGATTCATTTATTCTTCATTTAAAAAAAAATCAGAACTAGAGATTTCGAATTTAAACCAATTTCATATTTCCATCAAGTCACGCCTATTCTCCGAATCACTTGATGGCACTTTTAGACTGGGGTTGTCATGTTGGAATCTCTTTCAGAGTAAACTGGAATTAAGACAATCCTTAATTGGGATATGCATTATGAAAAGAGATTCCTGAAGCTGAAATTCTGTTCAGTTTGATAAAGTGATGCCCACAAAGCAGCAGTTTCATGATAAGCAATTCAACCTGTAGCCTCTTTCTTAAGAAGGAATTAGATAAATTTACACTTTGCATGCAAAAGGCCCACAAATCATATAAGATGACTACACTATAAGAGATTGTAAAGAGGTTTTCTAAAACATTTGCATCATTCCAATTTTCATTCAAAAATATGTGGTTCCTGCAAGTTAACTTAAACTATGCGATTCCTGACATCACTATGGCAAAGCCCTAATATCGATATTTGATAGTAACGTCATAAAACGCTTACTTTTTGTGGAATTGTAAGAGCCACAGACGTCTGACTGAAAATTGGAATGACGAAAATTGATGCTATCAGTGTCCCCGATACACATAAAAAGTTAAAAAAACTTCTGCACAATCCCAAAATTTGTAAACACCACATACGTGAAATAAACAAAAGCAATATCAGTCAAAAAGATAAATATTTCTAGAAAGCCTGAAATAAGTGACTAAATGTTTGTTTATATTTGATTTATTATTAAATCACAGAAGATTGACAAACTGTTTGATTACCATGACAATATTAGACAGACTACAAAACAACCAACCTTACATACATTACAAATTATAATATACTTAAGTTGTAATTAATTGTTTTAAAGTTAATTTTCATTGTACAACATTATACACAAGGCAAAATTTTGATTCCATTGGGCATACTAATGCCAATGCCTTCAGCTTATGCCACTCAAGTCATCCTACCAATGTTATCCATATTTTTAAAGTTAAATATTTGTAGTTGATGATAATGTATTTTGTCACAAAAACTGATTCTGGTTTGTATATCCATAAACAGATAATTATAGTATTTGCTTTTTGTCCAACAAAAGTGAGTATATGGGTGTAATTAAACTAGTAAATACTTATAACTAACTCATAAGAGTCATAATTACTTATACACTTAATCAATTCATTATAGTAATAATTACTAGTATAGAGCTAATTGAATTTGAGTCGAATTACTTATAAACTTACTTAACTCATTATACTAATAATTATTAGTATAGCGTCATTTGAGTCATAATTACTCCTGCCCTTAGTCAACCCGTTGAACTAATAATTACTAGTATAGAGCTAATTTGAGTCATAATTACTCCTACTCTTAATTAACTCATTGTACTCATAATTGCTAGCATAGAACTCATTTGAGTCATAATGACTCCTACTCTTTATTACCTCATTACACTAATAATTACTAGTATAGAATTGTAGTATAATTGAGTTATAATTACAGATATCTATCAATTTGACTCATAATTTCGTTATAATAAACTCATTTGAGTTATAATTACAGATATCTATCAATTTGACTCATAATTTCGTTATAATAAACTCATGTGAGTTATAATTTCAGATATCTATCAATCTGACTCATAATTTGTTAAAATAAACTCATTTGAGTTATAATTACAGATATCTATCAATCTGACTCATAATTTCATTATAAAAAACTCATTTGAGTTATAATTTCAGATATCTATCAAATTGACTCATAATTTCATTATAATAAACTCATTTGAGTTATAATTGCAGATATCTATCAATTTGACTCATAATTTGTTAAAATAAACTCATTTGAGTTATAATTGCAAATATCTACCAGTCTGACTCATAATTTCGTTATGATAAACTCATTTGAGTTATAATTTCAGATATCTATCAAATTGACTCATAATTTCATTATAATAAACTCATTTGAGTTATAATTGCAGATATCTATCAATTTGACTCATAATTTCGTTCTAATAAACTCATTTGAGTTATAATTATAAATGCCCATCAACATGGATTCATTATTGGTGGTATCTAATACACTGAGCTCATAGTTACTGGTATCTAAATTCAAATGACTAATAAGTACTAGTATCTCTATCACTGGACTCTTAAAAACTTTCACTATACTCGTAAATACAAAACCATCTAAATAATTTAACAATAGAATGCAGACATATAAAGCACCTTGATTACAAAATCATTACATTATGAAGATGGATACAGAAAATGGTGTGAAAATGTGATTAAATACGAGTAAACTAAGCAGTGATAAATATATACAAAGTACATTCTGAATACTTTTAAAAGATTATTTTCAGTATATAGCAAATAAACCAAACACTTAGGCATATCTCTAAATATTTTCTTAAAAAATTAAGTTTATTAAAAACAGGGAATATTTGTCTGTTGCAAAAGATAAATTATAGCCTTCGCTCAATCATCTTTGCCTTGAAAAATCATATAAAATGGCAACTTTAGTACTAGTAAGTACATTCTATGGCATCTTTGACCAAATCCTTTTAGTTACAAAAAAAGTATGTGAACTACAGTGTTTAACTATTATGGCCTTCGTAGTGTTTTATGGCTGCCAATTTTCTATATATATTGTTCTACAGAAATATCACACAATAAGCATTATAAAATTAAAAACAAATTATTTATATAAAAAATGCAGAGTCTACATCTATATTGCTTATCTTGTCAGACTTGTTTTCAGCTTTGATAGTGACAAAAAACTTTTAAGGACATGCTACCTCTTAGAATGGACATAAAACTCAAACTTGGTCAATAAGAGTATATGATATTCATCAGTTGGAATGACTAAAGAATACAATCTCTATATGAGACAATATATCCATTAAACTAAATAATTATTAAAACACGCTTCTAATCATGTTTCAAAATTACTTAGTTTCATGAATTATTACTAAGTTTTATATATTTATTAGATTATAGAGGGATTCTGTTGTATTGTTATGACACCACTGATGAACAAAGACTAATTAGGGCCAAGTATAAAATTTTCATTTTTTGGTCATTCTTAGTGGTAGTACACCTTTAACATCACTGCAGTTTCTCCTTTTATTATGAGAGTTTAGACTACAACTTTGCATGAACAGATTTATTATGCAAGCTGAAAATAGTCCAAAATCTGTAAACAATATCAGATGATTGACAATAACATTAAATAAAACAAACAATAACAGACACAAAGATAAAATAAATTACAATAAAAATGTGTCATGGAATTTCAAATCAATATTTGATTAAAACTTGAAAATGGAATGAATTGGGAAGAGTTTTTCACAAAACAGAAATTATCATTTTTGTAAAAAAGTAAAGACCAAAATTAGATGCTATGCATTTATCAAGAATATTTATTTGTTATAATATGGACTATTTGATTTAATAATATAATTCCTGTAATTGAGAAGGATTCTGATTTGAGATAAAAAAAAAATCTCGACTCCTTCAAAACATCCCGATAGAAATTCCAACTGTACAAAACATTCACATACTGCACATATTTCCTTTAACAATTCCATTTTTCCCAAAGCATGTAATTTGATACTAAAAAACAAGCATTCAAGCTATCATACTTAATTTCATTAAAATAGGCATTTCCTAAACAAAATATTCCAATAAAACATTAATAATTTCCTTAAACCATTGCTGATTCTTAAAAATTCCCTTCAAAACATTACTAATTCTTAATAATTCCCTTAAAACATTACTCATTCTTATAAATTCCCTTAAAGCATTACTCATTCTTAATAATTCCCTTAAAACATTACTCATTCTTAATAATTCCCTTTAAACATTACTCATTCTTATAAATTCCCTTAAATTCATTACTCATTCTTAAAAATTCCCTTAAAACATTACTCATTCTTAAAAATTCCCTTAAAAACATTACTTATGCTTAAAATTCTCTTGAACATTACCTGGTTTAATCGTTCCAAACAAATACAACAATAACATTAACAACAAAAAACAATTTCCGAAAAAAAGATAAACAAGGCTAAACAATCTTTTTCATTCCAATCAATATTAAATTTTGATTTTTAAAATTTCAAGATGGAAATACATTTGTTTTTGAATGAAAGCATCAAATTAAAGTTTGATTTATCTTGTGGAATGTAAACAGTTCCTAACAAATATATATTTTAAAATAGAAAATATATCATAAGCCATTTGAAAAAAAAATTTGACAATGTAATATATTTTAAAAATTCATGTGTAGCAATTGAAAATGAATTTAACTGTGGGTACATAACTTTTAGTTTAACTCCAGCTGAACATGAAATGAATACCCCTTTCTCTTTCATCAACTTTACATAGTATTATCATTACAGTAATATATAAAACTAATGATATTAAAGGAAATTGAAAGTCTAATTATAATTGTTGGTCAGAAATCCTATATAAGTCCATATCAGCTATCCTATATAATTATGCCTGACGTTTCCTTTGAATGAATGTATTGTATATGAAATAATGAAGAAGATATATGAGCTTACAAGGGGAAAAATAATTGTCAACAAAAACAGGTAGTCATGATATAAAAAGTTGATAATTAATTTTTGGTGTAATCATCTTTCAGCAAGTCTAATTATATCATGCAACTGATTAAGTATGCTTAATTATGCTGAAATTAAACCCTGTATAAGAAAATATGATCATTAAAATCATCATTAAACGCAAGTATGACAAAATCACAATCTACGTGAAGTACACTGATTCACATTACGGCCACTCTGAGCATGTCCAATTAATTTCAATTTAAAATCTGTGGCTAATTTGACATCTTTGATACAACCGGAATAACCAGTAGAAAAAATTCCCAGAGTTTTCTCTGACACATCTGGCATTCCTCCTGAATTGAAGAAAAATCATAATATTAACACTGATTTGAAGAGCTATAATTTCGAAGAAAATCAAAAAAAAAACTGATGTTATGCTCCCTTGGTATTAAAGTTTTTCAATAATTATTACAAAGTTATTATTCAAGAGGCTTTCACTATATGAAAGAATTTTTTCTAAAGAATTATTTAATGCATTAAAAATATGCACCATACTGTGTGATTTTCAGTTTGCATCAATCAGATACCAAAATAACTTACTCAAGTATTCCATGACTCATACGTTGATACTGACCCAAATATGAATACTATTGGTATCTATTATCTATTACACTAATAACTAAAGGACTTACTAAATATCATTGGTATTTATATATTGTACTTACTTTAATATTGTTCGTTTTTAAATACATGTACTTATTTAAATATCATTGGTATCTACATATTGTACTTACTTAAATATCATTGGTATTTACATACATGTACTTACCTAAATATCATTGGTATTTATATATTGTACTTACTTTAATATTGTTCATTTTTATATGTACTTAATTAAATATTGTTGTTATTTATATATGGTACTTACTTAAATATCGTTTGTCTTTATATACATGTACTTACTTGAATATTATTGGTATTTATTTACATACACTTACTTAAATATTGTTGATATTCAATACATGTACTTACCTTAATACAGTACTATATTGGTTTAATACACATGTATTCACCCAAATATAATATTGTATTAATGTTTAATATTGATATCCAGATTTCATTGGTATACACTTACCCAAATAAAGTATTTTATTAGTATGTACTTACCCAAATATAGTATTTTATTGGTATTTAATATAGTATAACTACCAGGTGAACTACCTTCTACTATTTCAACACCATCAATTTCTAAATAGGCATCTTGTTTATCTCTAAAATATATATAATGTAATTTTCGAACGTGGATAATTTTAGACACAAATGGATTTGAAGGCTTTAATTTCGACAGCGTGTCGTGAAGACTATATACTGATAAGCTTTGCTACAAAAATCCTGTTTCTGAGAGTAAGGTATGATTGGTTGAAATAATGTGAACCTGTCCCTTTAATCCATGACACAGGTCAATTTTGATATATTTTGCCAGCATCAATTGCCAGCTCACATTTAACAGAGTTCACTCATATCTGAGTATAATTCCATGTAGACATTAGTCACTTGTTAAATCAAAGGCAATAATTCAGTGACTTTAACCAAAATCATATAACTTTATCTCATATTTGGATTTTGAAAGTAATATTTCAAGGAATGTTAAAAAAAACAAATTTGTGATTTATGTTATTATTTACGTTTAATCTCGATTTCATTTTTTGTTCTAAAAAGTTCCATCAGATATAGCAAAAACACCTCCACTTCTGAAGTTAATAACGGAATTAAAAATGAAATTTGTTTGGAAAACATCTGCCAACTTTAATGACATCAGTAGATTCTCTTATGTTCTAATGAAACTCGAAAAATTCCTCAATAAATTGAAGATTTTACAATGAACATGACGTTTGGCAGTATTCTTCTAATGAATTATGAAGCAGAGTTGGAAAAACAGAAGTGACATTACTCTGTAATGAGTGTCATTTTACTATAATACACGACTACGTATTGACATAAACAATCAAGTATATGAAATGGCAAAATCATAAATTTTCAATGAAAAACAACATTTTCAAGAGATGAATCAAAAAATAATCAAGTGTATTGGTAAGAGGAGAGTTGCTGGTGACAAGTTCAAGCTTAGCTGTCATGTCAAAGATAATTGTTTTCCCACTAAATTTTCTATTGTTTTAAGCTTTACGTTTAAACCCTATACCAATTGTCATAGAAAACAGTACGATTCTTTAGGGAACAATATGTTATGGAAAATTCCAAAACTGTTTTTCAAAGCTTATCATTAAAGTTTTGTGTTCCATGGAGTCTTTCTAGATTTAGATTTCTATAAAAAAAAATGTTAAAAAAATGAAATATTTAATGACAATATCATATTTGGCAAGATCACAGAATCTCTACTTTCATTTTCTACCAACAAAAATGGCAGTGATTTTTTTGATCAAGTAGGCTTATTGTGAAAACAATTAGTATATGATGGCTACATAGCATTTGCCATCCTGATCAACCAATTTCCTAAATGAATTTGTTAATCCAGTCTATAGACTATTATATATATATATATTAATGAAGATATAAAATTTAACACTGAGTAAAGATGTATATGTTTACACTATTATAAAATAGTGGACCACAGCCATATACGCCCTTCACAGCATGCGCATGGTAAACACGAAACATTCATTTTAACTTTCATCAAAATCGGTTGAAAACTAAGAGAGTAATAGCATATTCAAGATTTTGGGGCAAGGGCAATAACTCTGCTTCTACAGGTCGAAAATAGCTCAAACTCAAACTTGATCTTTGTTTTATGAATACACATACCGAATTTCATTTGATCCCATCAAAAAATCTAGTTTGTAGAGCGTTTACAAGCTAATGTTGACGGACGGACCGACAGATGGACCGACTTATGGACAGGGGTGCCGACAATATACGTCCACATAGAGAGATGTGGGCGTATAAAAATAGATGACTGCTCTGACCACATCAACGGTTGCCGTTCAAAAGAAGTGAAAGTGGTTGAAAATTTCATGGGAGAATTTTAACTGACAGCTGATTCAAGGGTCTTTGAATATGGGTGGCCTTTCCTACAAGTTGGACTGTATAAGAAGTTCCTATTGAACTAGTCAAGAATACAAGACTCGCATTGTCAACTGGAATTCACGATTCATTTCTTTCGATTTCATTAAAAAGAAATATGGCAGGGCAATAGTTTAAGAAATCTTATGACATTAGAATAAAATGATAAAAACAGACAGTAAATTTCCTTGTCATACACTCACCTTTGGGCTCTTATGAAATGCCAGGAACCATCAAAGAGTGCAGAATTATTATAACCAATAACAGCTTCTCCACTACCTAAATTGAAGCGGAACTGTAGACTACCGTCTCGGAATCCAAGAGCTATAAAATCGCTGGTGGTGGTCATGTGATCTTGTCCAGTCCAAAACAAGAGACCATTTCTATCTCTTGGTTTAATATACATTTGTAGATCTATTTTACTACCAATTACCCTGCAATAATGCAACAAGAACAAATAAAACTTGTATTTTATATATTAATTATTTTTGCTGTAATCTTGATGTTATAAAACATGTACAGCATTGAAACAAATGGTAGATTTTAAAGAAAACTTTTGTTCCTGAAAAGTAGTACCCTCAAGCTTGTCTATGCTATTCACAGATAAACTGACATTCTTCCAAATTTCAACTTTATCAAAAATGTACAGACAGGAAGAAATGGTAAATTTTAAAGAAAATGCATGAATTATCGTTTTTACATTGGTGCTTTGCCAACTCAAAGTAAGAGATGATGAATTGACAAAGCTGTTAAGAATAAGCAATTTTTTTCTGAAAAGTAGTTCCCTCAATAATGTCTATTCCAATTATAGAAAAACTGTCACTGTGCCAAATTCAGTTCTAGGGAGCTTTGAACATCAATGTTATAATCATTGTTCTTGTAATGGAATATAATGTAGAATATATGTTGATTCAGATTGAGACTACTGCACTTTTACTTCTTCAACTACGGTAATAAAACATGATATAACAAGATCACTCCAGAAGACAGGGAAACCCCCTACAGCTTTATATATATAATAAATTTTGTTACAGTTTCACCAACAAATTCAACATTCATTAGTTTTCATTAAATTAGACCAATAGTTCTTCTCTAATTTTAAGGCTGGAGGGAGATTGAAAGGGGAGGTAACTTAAATCCTGACATTGTTTCAGCTCAAAAGTATGTGTCATACGAAACTATGTATGGTTCTTACAAGGAAATAACGCACACGAAGTTTCGTATGTAGCATGTGTCTGCAAAAAATATTGATTTTTGTTTACATCTGTTATTTTGAATGACAAAATCAACTACCAAGTTCTACACATTCTACCAGGTCTAGTGTACCTTTGTATTTCTCATTTCTCTGATGAGCATTTTAGGGTGAGCAACTGCTAGGTGAGCAACTGTACCTTTCACAGCATTTCACGTCCTAAGCCAATAAATTATAGGATATCATATGTGAAATAAGATTGCATTTGCAATTGAGAAAAAATCAATGCTGCAAACGTCATATTTCTTTTGGACAATGTCCATAATGTGTGTGGACTAACACACATAACAATGTGTTTTTTTTTTTCAAAAGACAAATCTGTTGTCTTTGTCTGCCTTTAGTGAGCTGAGTCTTGTACTACAGATGGAATATTATCTTTATTTTTATTACTATTATTGCATTTATCTTTCGCTGGATAGAAACAAAATACTTTAACAATGTACTTACCTTTTGACGACCTTTTTATCTGTGTAAATTAAGAAGGCAGCTCCATTAAACATAGGTTTAGTAGGTAATTTTCTCATTTCTGTAAGAAACAATGTATGTATAAGTTGTCATTACCTAGTCTCACAGAAGAAAATATATTTTTTAAACCATGTTATCATCTCTTAATATTTCTTTTTGTCGTGACTTCTCTTCAATTTTTTGTCTTGATGTAAAAATTTTTTTTTTTTTTTTCGAAAATAATATTTTACTCGAACACTTAAAGTTGGTGTATGCAACAATTTTTAAGTTTATTTTGAAATTACTGTAAAGAGCCTGAAAGTTATAGTTCACCGTTCACCATTTTTTGGGGTTGATTTGGGCTTTGAACACGTGTAAATAGTCTGTATGGAAATGGATAATTCCTTCCAAAAAAACTTCAAAATAGGAATTTCACTTTTTATTAATTTCTTTCACTGGTTTATAAACTGCCTGAAAATTAGTTTACCCAATAATACATCGTGTTGATAAGGCATATAAAATGGTTCTTTAACTTGGCTAAAAAAAACGTCTTGTCTATGTAATTTTCAAACATAGATAATTTCTTGGCTTAGAAGGCTATTGGTTATTAAGCATTAATTTTGTACCTGGCAACATAGAAAAGATATTCAACACTCAGCACAACCTTCATACTAACTATAAGAAGGGGGATAACTCTCAATTTTTATGAAAAGAAAAAGACTACAACTGAATTAGATGATTTTACAGAACAGAAATTTATGGAAACATTATCAAAAACATGACATGAAACAGAAATCAATGAGTCCAAATTGAAAAATTTTCACCACGACACATATTTTATTTTCCTAAGTTTTTTAAAGTTTTTTTTGCAAGAATAACTTGATCACGAATGTCATTCAGTAAAATAACAAAAGAATATCTAGATTCAAAAAAGTCTGGGAGCAGAGTGGAGCATCTCTAGATGTCAGCTTCAGAAGTTAACTTACTATGTTCACAGTTGGTGTTGGAGAAACCAAGAGGACAATAACACTGATATATATCATGATGTGGTATACACTCTCCACCGTTCATACATGGTTCACCATCACAAGGGTGTTCACATGGTTCTATATTAACACCATCAATAGCTGATTCCATTATATCTACTGGTTTCTTGTTGATAACAACCTATTAACAAAATTAATTTACATTCATTTACCAAATGAACAAATTTAATGAGATCAAATGGGGCCTCTATGTGACACAATACAATATAAAAGTTTTGCCAAAACAAAAGCATCATCTTGTCACGAACTTTATGTCAGATATTCACACTTGCATCAAAAGCAGAGTAAATAAACCAAGTGCTAAGGAAACACGAAATGCAAAACAACATATTGGCAAAATATTGGTTGCAAGGAATGAACTTTTCACATGATGAAAAGTGGTATCAGGTGTCTACAAGAGTAAGCGTATTCCCCGTTCTGGTGCCACACCTGTCATTGCTACTCAACATACACAACCAACATACACAAAGGCAAAAATAAGTCTATCAGCATTTTCCTGCATGATAATGACAGTTGTTTAAATCATGGTAAGCAGAAGTCTGAACTTTTTAAAGATTTATACTACTGAAATTTCTGAAACATCTGATTTTCTTACCTTTTGAATACAACCAGAAAATGATGATGTCATATTGACATGTTTAGATGTTTCATCATAATTACTATGACCACCAATAAACAGGTTTTCTAGCAGTGTTAACTGAGTGTAGGCACCTTGAGCATCACCTTCCATTTCTAACTGATCATCAACAACTAGTGTACCCTGTAGTCCAGTTCTTTCTACTCGCACTACATGCCACACATTTAATTCTAATGGTTTCAAACTCCTATATCAAAATATCTACATGTGATATATCATAGAGTAATGAAAATAAATAGCAAAGTTAATAATATATCATTACATTTATACAATATTTTCACTGTTAAAATAGTGCTCACTATATCAAATGTAGAGTGATAAACAGAATATTAAAACAGAACCTGAAACATGTTGTTATTCAGACTTTCACGCAATGCCATCATCAAACAACAGACCTTTTTATGTTGTCTTAACTTAACTTAAAATCACCTTCAAAACAGTGGTTTGATCTAGGAAATCCCCAAAACAAATTTTTCAAAATGAAAATACTGGAGTTTGTCTACAATTTAATTAAAAAGATGCCATCATAACTTTTGATGCATTTGAGAATGTTACATTGTTGTTTAAACTTTAAGACTGTCGTCGATTCCATCAATGTGGTTTTATTTAATTGAAGACATACCCAAAGTCCCATTTTACATTCATGCACAAGCCAAAGTAAGCTTATTAACTACATATAACTTACCTGATTTTAGCTGGTCCTGTACCTAAATCAAACCTAAATTCCAGATAACTATCTCTCAATGCTAGAGATATAAAATCTCCCTTTCTATCTTTAGTATAACCATTATATAACAATAAACCTTCTCCAGTAGTAGGTTTAAACACTATTTCTATATCAGTATAGGTCAATACTGTTCGTCCTAAACCTTCATATTGTAAATAGGCATGTCCACTAAATCTTGGAATATGAATTTCATGTCCTAAAAATTCAAATAATGAGATGCCATTTTACGTAGAAATATCAACAGACACACAATACTTTATCTATGTCAATTACCGGTAATACTTCTGCATCAGTGACGATGGAAAAAATGGGTTCAAAATTCTGAAGTTTAAAGCTTGACCTATGCAGGAATTAACCTATCCTTGCCCATGTCTGGCTAATAAATATCGCTTCGAAGGGTTAATATTCAGATGGTGAAAACACATTACTTTTCTTTAAAGCTTGAGTGATACTGTATCTTTTTGATGCAGTTGGATTGTAGTCTGCCAGGTGATTAGGTGCTTTATGTTGGAATCATCCTCAATGTTAAAGAAATTCTAAAGCCATGACCTGTGCTTCTGAAAGTCAGCCCAGCATTGTTTTCACCTGGTCAGCAAACAAGCCCGTACATGTAACTTACAGAGCCACAATGGCTCAAATATATAACTTACGTTTTTCACAAGTATTTCCTGAAAATCCTAATGGACATAAACAAACATGAGTGTCGGCTGATTTTATACTACATGTACCACCATTATTACAAATAACAGCTTCACAAATACCTTCACTACATTCACCTGAAAATATATTATAGTTATCTCCCTTTACTCTTCTGACAAACTGTCCAACTCTGCTGAAAATACTCAAGAGATGTTACTATGGAAATGCAAACGTGGCTAAATACCAGACACATCTTTTGAAATATCTTTTTCTCTAAGAGTATCTACATGTAGCCCTCTGTAAATTTACTTCAATGGACTTAAGTGATTAAGCTAGTGTTGTGTATCACCTTCACATCCATGTGACTGACCGGCATACAAACACAGGTGCCATCAATATACTTCAACAAAAGAGATAATGATGTATAAAAACCAAAATAACATACCAACATTGACACCAAATTCTGTATCACCCACAATATCAGCCTTCCTCATATCATATCTATAGCCATTAATAACAACTTCTTGTACGCAGCCAATAAACCTCTTTCTGGTACCAACTCTAGATTCTATATTACTCATATTACTATAACCACCAAGATATGTATTCAGTCGTAATGTTATACGAGAAAATGCACCCTAAAAGAAAATAACACCAGGGTTGGTTAAAAGCAGAAAAAAAGTTAATTTCCAATGTGAAAACATCATCAGAAAAACATGAGCCAATTTTACTGTCAAAGATAGTGGATCACAGCCATATACGTCCACCATGGCATGCGGATGGTAAATATTCAAGGTTTTGGTCGAAAATAGCTCAAATTTGAACTTGATCTTTGTATTATGAATATGTATAAACATACCGAATTTCATTTGATTTTATCAAAAAATCTAGTTTTTAGAGCATTTACAAGCAAATGTTGACCGACGGACCAACGGACAGACAGACGGGGGTGCCAACAATATACGTCCACATAGAGAGATGTGGGTGTATAAAAACTATAACATTGTACTATATACTAATGTTGCATAATTCTATTATTATATACATAATTTATCAAAATGAAATTTAACATCAGGTTTGTCTGTAAATTTATTTACAGCTTACTGTCCCTGCCTGTAGTCATGTGGACTGCATGTCTTTAATGTAATTTCCAGTGTTCAAATGGAATTTTAAATTATCTATTTGTAACCATTAAGTTATCTACTTTTATATCTGTAATTATTGTATAAAAAGTAAATAACAAACCTTGGCAGTTCCCTCTACAGGATTTTGATTGTTCAATCTAATGGTTGCTGTATTATCAATTCTAAACACAGCTACTCGGTTCCAATCTCCTATTGTTACCATATCTTGACTTCTTATAATACCCATACCAGTACCACAATCAAATCTACAATATATCATATCTTGTACTTTAACTATATATTTGGTATAAGGTTTTATAAGAGATACTCTCTCTAGAAGCACTGGCCTAGGTCACAAGTAGGAACTGTTCAGCATTGGAATACATCAAATTGATAGAAAATTACCTACTTCTGGAGAGATTTACAAGATAAACAAATAATTCAGAAGCGATTGTTTCAGCGAGTTAATGAAAGGGGGTCTAATCTTCCATGGACAAGAATATTACTCAGATTTTTATTCTTTTTATAAGCAGTCACTTTTGGTGTCATGGAAAAAACTGAGGATGACTTCCAAATACGTCCACTTCTGCATACAGTGGGTGAAATGACAAATTTGTTTCATGTTAATAAAATCAACAACAGCTTTGTTTTTACTATTTCAGATTTTTTAGGGCCAGTGAATAACAGATATAGCAGATTTTCCACAAAAAATTCAGTTACATAAGGACGTGACTTTGAAGGAGATCTTCAAGAAACATTCCTTTTGGAGAGTATACAAGTAATTGGGACCCAGCTATCAATTTAAAGAAACCTTAAAAACATTCACTATAAAATATGATTAGAAATGTCAATCTGATGATGAAAGGAGACTGGTTATAAGAAGTAAGATAAGTTAAAGATTACAGCTTTAATCTTGTGGTTTCCTGAACTCTCTCCTCTGATATGTTTCTAGTCTGATGGTGACAGAGTGGTCATTTAGAAACAAAGAGAACTTTGACAGAAGTCATGCTGAAACACGAGATATTCTGACACAAGATTTATCCTTTATATCAAACAATAGACTCTATAATGACAATATCCACTCTATTCTTAGTTTTATTTCATGTTGAAGGAATAGATACATGCAACTCTATAAAAGAGCTCATTCAAGGGCTGTCACAAGTCCACAGAAGCCAACAAATTTCAGATGCCCAGAGAATTTTGAGCATTAAGAGGGCTTAATTTTGACCGCAAGACCTATCATAAGCCTGAGAGGTGATCCATGGCCCTTCCCCTAAATAAACCACTGGGCTCATCTTATATATGTAGTTGACAAAATACTTCTGATAAATTGCATCAGCAAGATTGGAAATTCCATAAATCTGTAACTGACTTTTACCAATGTCAAATGCACCATAAAAGTTTTCAATATGTCTTAAACTATCATATTTTTCATGCTTTTTTACACACAGGTACATACCAGCTGGTCATTGGCTTAACAATTGGCATTGATCATTCCTAACTAGGATAATGAGGAAAAGTCATTCAAGAGCACCAAGATTAGAACCAACAACCACCATTTGTTGGATATAACCAAGCAAATGACATCATGTAAAGTTTCCAAAAATTACAGAAACGACAGACTTATTTAGAGATTAGGGTGATTGAAAGTAACAAGTTATTATTCAATAAAAGACACTGGCACAGGCAGGGTTATATTTTTTGTTAAAAACCAAATTTCATACACATTTTTATTCTAACACAAAATTATTTCATTGCAAAATGTTTCTTAATTTTCCACAGAATACAAGATTCTTAAGATGAAATTTCTAGAAAATTGACCTTTATAACAGGAGACTGTATCATATTACTCTATTTCCAGTTATTTACCAAAATAAATTAGATCAAAAGACATCTGACTGGTTATTATCATTTCAAAATATTCTGAATATCATCTCACTAGGCTATGATAAAGAATATATAATTACTTTTACTGTATATTTTTAATCAAAGTTTCTAGGATTAGCTTTTATTTTCCGTTATAATCTTGAAGATTTTAAATCTAATTCTTTGCAGATGAGAATGAAAAAAAAAAGTATGATTACTAAAATGTTGGCAAAACATGTTAAAATTCATAACCTGAACGAATACGCCATTATCTAAGCACATTGGGTCAAGGTATCTGAATAAAAATACCAGTCGCCTATTGAGCAGCAAAAAGTAAATTCAAAAAAATAATTCTTTGTTTAAACTCTTTGGTGCAGATTCCATAAAATGAAATGACTTTGAAAATTCTTCATTGGGTTCATTCAAACAGGAAACAGATATATACCATAGGAGTTAAATGATGTACAAAAAACCAGCAGGAAATAAAGAATTAGAGAACTTGTGAATTTATTCAAATCAAATCTCCAAAAAAGGAGAGTAATAAAGTTAAGTGACAAGGCCGTCTGCTGTATGTTTAACATCACCAGATCAGGTCAAATTAAAATCTGTCTGGAAGCAGACACAGTTGACATAACATCGTTTATAAAGTAGATTAACAATTTAGACTTATGATCAAGAGTTTATCAAACACTGTCCAAATTTGGCATGAAGTGATCAAATACTTATAGCAACGCCTAGTGCTTACGTGATAATCCAATAATTTCTACTCATTTTCCACTAAGTAGTGTCTAATAGCTTTGGCTTAGCTATGATGTTTCATCTCAAGTTTGTAATTTTGGGTTTTCATAATATATTTGTGGTATCAGTTTATGGAGCAGGTAGCATTCCAGAGCTAAGAATTTCTTGGTGCAAAATTCTTAATCTTGACAAATCCAAAGGTGACTTTTGGTAAAAAATAGAGGCAGTACACATTGTATATCTCTTAACTGTCATGGATCTATAATTTTCGAAACGAACTTCTTAAAGAAGCTTTGAGGTCTGTTTTTCCATTCATTTTGGCCACCCTAAAATAGTTACAAAGAGCAAATTTTTTCGACCAGTCACATCAACTTTTTAAATCTGCCCTATGCCAACTCACCTTGACAACGAATTTGTAAGGAAGTATGAATGGCCGGCATCAATATTCTCCACAGCTTTTTAGCACTGCCGATTTCATTCGTTGGCAAATTTGTCCTGCGATAGATATTTTTTTTTAGCCAATAGGATGTGATGTTGATATTTCGTGTACCAATTACATGATCACCTGCAAAATTTGGCAGAGTGACTTATGCTGATATATATTTGTTACATTTGCCATTGCCATTTGTTTGTAAAAAAAGTTGGCTGGCGATTTTAATCGACATGATTGCTCATCTGCCTCTAGCATAACTGTTGTATCTGACAGCTAAGAGCTTGTGATATTAAATGCTGTTTCTTCAGACAGTAAGCCATTATAGAGTAACTTTATGCAACAACATGTGTCTGAGACAAGACTATAACATATCTGAACAAGGTCAGTTTAACATTTCCTAGTCAGGCTAAAATGATGAATAATCTGATATGAATGTTGAAAGATGTATCAAGAATCATAATAATTGATCTGAGCTATAGATAAATCATCCAGACACCAAGTATCATTGATTCTACTTGATGTTATATATCAGCAGAAATTGTTTTTATTTGTCCAGTAAATGTCCGTCTGGATTGTTATTTACATGTACAAGAACATTATTTACACCTTCTGACTTATCAGCTGATAGTCTATGAGTCCTTTACACTTCAATCATATTACATCCTGCTCGCTGTTAGTAGTCTAGCCTCTTATTGAAATCTTGAATATAACCAATGTAACTGAAATTACTTTCAAACAAGGAGTATTGCCCGAAAAATTTCTCCTTCTTTTGCTAATACCTTTGCATGACTCTTCATCATTTCTCCAGCCTTTAATACAAGGAGTTTTCAACTACTGTTAATGCTGGGTTCATTTATATTTTCATGAAATATGAAGAATCAGAAAGTTTCACACTTCTATTTTGGTTCATAATTTGAAGAATCATAAACGGTCACGTCTAGCTTTAATATTGAAGAATCAAAGAGAGTAAGATTCCATTTACACTTTGAATTATTATAAAGAGTCATATTTGGTTAAATATTAAAGGGACAAGTCCAACATACATTTGACCAATCAGTATTTTAGTCTCAGAAAAACAAATTTTTTAGCTGAGCTAATCAGTAATAGCGTTCACAGTTCACTGTCGAAATTTGAGCCTTCAAATCCATGTGTGTTCAGAATAATTTGCTGATGAGAGTTCAAAGACAACTTATCTCTTCTTGAGACTCTACCATATATACACATAGTGCATTTTCTCTATTCTGAAGACTATTTACATATATTCAAGACACAAATTACCTCCCCAAAATGGTGAATCATAAGCTTTTAAGTAACACAGAAGGATAAGTCAATGACACATGGGAGTACAGTTGATTCTCATGGGAATAAATAAAGGTATAAGTCTTAAGTCTTAAAAGTCTACAGGATTTTATATCCTAGTTTAGTTCAAACCTGTCTAATGATTTCATTTATCAGGAACTTAACGAGCCAGGTTTAATCCTGATATTGACCAGAGGACGTCTGGTGACCTTGATTAAGTCATCTTTACTCATTATTACAGATAAGATCCATAGAGCTTAAAGGGGCAGGCTCGTCATTCGATTTATTAATCATCTCAAACAAGAATTTTTAAGCTAAGCTAATCAGCAATAGTGTACACAGTTCACCTTCCAAAATTGAGAATTCAAATCCATGTGTGTCCAGAATTATCCAATGTTTGAAAGTTAAAATGACAACTCATCTTTTCATCAGACTGCCTTACATAGAAATAGAAAGTGAAATTCCTAGTTTTTGGTATTTTTGAAGGAATTTTGTTATTTTTCAGTACCTTACTTTTAAAGTCTATTTATATTTAATCAACCCCCCCTCCCCAAAACAGGTGAACTTGTTAATTTAAGCCCAAGAGAAATATGGATTTTCTTACACTTTTTAAAAGTCAATTTTCTGTTAAGGGGAAATAAAAGGAATGAACAAGAGGTCTAATATAATGTATATTTAATAGGTATATAGACCAGACTAATGATCAGAACTATTAACTATAATCAATCAACTATCATCATCTACCTAAAATACTATGACTAGGTTCAAATCTCTTTTCATTATAACTATCATTTACAGATCATACCAGTAAAGTAGTTTGAATTTTTGTATAACAAGTGAAGCAAACAACTAAAGTGCTGGTATATTTGTGTTAAATTTCGGGGAAGGGAGGGTTTGATTTTCCCAAATGTACAGGCCTAGGGTGGAGCAGACACTTTATTTCGAAATTAGGATTAAGGGTCTTGATATTGGGTACTTTCTGTAGGATAATAAAACACAAGTACTAACAATCCAAACCGAAGTATTTGAATCATAAGTGAGTAAGTATTTCATAATGAAAAGTTGTGTCAGGTGTCCAGAAGAGTAAGCATACCCTGCCTGGCAGAGGATTTGAAATATCCAGACAAACTGTTTCATCAATACTATAGACAGCTGTGGGACAAACCTACCCTTCCATTTGGAGAACTAAAAACATTGTCAACCAATCTACCAATATAACAAGACTGTCTTTCACTTTTAAATGACTTAAATCAATGCATAATATGAGACTGCACAATAATCCATTGAACTGAATGACCAAGAGGAATATATAGTTCAAGTTTCCAAGATAAGTTAAGAGGTTGTTTCCACCTTATTCAATTAAATATAAATGGTTTGTTTTGATTGAATTATTCCAACTCTCTATTGGATTTGGATTTTTATTATATTTGATGTTATATACAATATTATTTATTTTATCACATGTTCTACCAATAATCACACAACAGCTTGCATAAATGTGAATTCCTCAGATACACACCATGACAAATGAAACTACCTCATCTGTACATATTTTCAGTGAATCAAGGGCAATAACTTAGAAATCCTTAGATCAAAAACCCTGCAAACTTATCTCATGTGAGATTTTGTCTAATTTTAGTATGAAAGGACAGTGAATTGTAAGTGCTTTTCAAAAAGAGTTTCTCGCTTGAAAATATCTCATGTTATTACAACATCTAATTCAACTAAATTTAGAACTCTTTTTTATCAAACTTTTACACTTTCCTGAGGACATTTCTTATAAGAGGGTTGAATGAAAAGTTTCAAGCTTACAAAATGTAGATAATGGCATGTATAATTATAAAATTGGTTGTATTCCACTAACGTGCTTTATCAGCCTTACAAATTTCATTTTCTTTAGGGGAATTACTGATAGTGCCTCTGTGAATCTGATTCTTGCTTGCAACCCTGAAGGTCTACAGTTCAACTCCAGCATGGATCACTCTAATACCTTCAAATTTTTTGTAGTCTGGCGAAAAGACAAATGTCATGAGGGCATGTGTGCTTCAGGCTGTGCACATTAAAAATCCCTTAACAAGAGTTAGCATGCCACAGTCCTGTTAAAATTTCCCTCATTGCACACTACACGCTGGTTAACTATTCAGTTAATCCTCCTATACATCTAGAACCTAAATAATGTTATACATCTGTCTCGATATCTATTGGAGATGAAGATGAAGTTGTTTGTTCAATCTTGAGTGTAGCCTGAAGTCCATGATTACTTACCTGAACTCTACAAAACCATCCACTAATGTAATAGAAAAGAAATCAGATTTAGCTGATTCTGATTCTGAAGAAAATAATAATAGACCATTCTGGGCCTGAGGTCTGAATTCAATCACGATGGCAAATTCTTTATAACCATCTTTTAATACTGGAAGACCAAGATAACCAATACCATAGAAATTAGGGAAACGAACGGTAACATCTGAAAATAGAAAGTAGCAATCATCTTTAACTGGCAGAGGTCACGATATTTTGGCGAATTCAACATAAATCTTGACTCCAAAGTTGTAAACTTCTACATACTCATCTCGAACAAATCTAGCATTACCATTCTGTCAGAGGCATAGCAACGATTTCATTGACAGGGGCCATCTGAACTTCCCAGGTCCCTTTGCCGTTTTTTAGATGGCACTATTTACATAGGGGGTGAGGGGAGCCTCTCCTTGGAAAATTTTCTGGAGAGTACATCTAACATGATTTTGGCAATGAAATGACATATTGATAACATGAAAGTAGTTTTTTATACATGGCTACTTACATTTTTCACATCTGCTACCCATAGTGCCAAGTGGACAATCACACCTTGGAACATATCCTTCCACCACACAAGTTCCGTTGTTTAAACACACTGTATTGGAACATAGTTCTTCAACAGTATACTTCCTCGGTTTAATACTATTATAATCAGCATCTAAATTCAAATATCTGATACTATTATCAGAGTTGTCTCCTCCTTCGTGGATTCTTAATTCACCACTAGGTGGCGGACTGTCTTCTTTATTTTTAAGATTGATTGTGTGGATTTTGAAGTCTTTTTTGAGTTGTTCCCCTGGTGATAAGTATTTCACTTTTCTGTGCACATTTGAAACTAACCGTGAGTCTTTGTCTTTTGATTGATTTGATTCGGTGTCAGTATTTTCTGGTTGGCTAAAAGTTCTTCTGTTTCCACCAATAAAAACTTCGTCATTTTGAACATCTTCCTGCGGATGGAATTCAGGTAATACTTCTGGCACTAGCACTAAAAAGAATAAAATCACATGTTGTGAGCAGTGATATTTAATGCCATTTGAATTGTCAGAAAAGAATGCTACGTTGAAACACTAAATGGCAGAAAGCATCAAGTATCCTGGCTCAAAGCAGCATTTCTTATTAATTAATATGAATTGAAAAATTTGGACTTTTGGCTCAAACTTACAATATAATAACAAAGTTTAAAGTAAATTTCACAACTTTCATGAAGAGAATGAAAAAATTCAAAAAGATCAAGATTAAGATACATTCAGAAAACACTCTCCTACCTGAGCAAGTCTTTCCATCTTTGTTTAAATAAAAACCATCTTTACAAGTACAAATAAAACCAATATGGTTGATGTTTTCACACAGATGATTACATGGATTGGATCTTGTACAGTCACCTGAAAAATACAGAACAATCTTCTGTTAAAAAACTGAACAATATACAGATGATTACATGGATTGGATCTTGTACAGTCACCTGAAAAATACAGAACAATCTTCTGTTAAAAATCTTAACAATACACAGATTATCACATGGGCTGGATATTGTAAAGTAACCTGAAAATACAGGACAATTTTCTGTCAAAACAATCTTTACCATACACAGATGATTACATGGATTGGATATTGTAAAGTTACCTAAAAATACAGAACAATTTTCTGTTAAAAATCTTAACAATACACAGATGATCACAGGGGCTGGATATTGTAAAGTAACCTGAAAATACAGAACAATTTTCTGTCAAAACAATCTTTACCATACACAGATGATTACATGGATTGGATATTGTAAAGTTACCTAAAAATACAGAACAATTTTCTGTTACAAATCTTAAAATACACAGATGATCATATGGTTGGATATTGTACTAAAAATACAAAACAATCTTCTGTTAAAACAATCTTTACAATAGATTGATGATCACATGGATTGGATTTGTACTGTCACCTAAAAATACAGAACAGTCTTCTGTTAAAACAATCTTTACAATAGATTGATGATCACATAGATTGGATTATGTTCAGTCACCTAAAAATACAGAATAGTCTTCTGTTAAAACAATCTTTACAATAGATTGATGATCACATAGATTGGATTATGTTCAGTCACCTAAAAATACAGAACAGTCTTCTGTTAAAACAATCTTTACAATAGATTGATGATCACATAGATTGGATTATGTTCAGTCACCTAAAAATACAGAACAGTCTTCTGTTAAAACAATCTTTACAATAGATTGATGATCACATAGATTGGATTATGTTCAGTCACCTAAAAATACAGAATAGTCTTCTGTTAAAACAATCTTTACAATAGATTGATGATCACATAGATTGGATTATGTTCAGTCACCTAAAAATACAGAACAGTCTTCTGTTAAAACAATCTTTACAATAGATTGATGATCACATAGATTGGATTATGTTCAGTCACCTAAAAATACAGAATAGTCTTCTGTTAAAACAATCTTTACAATAGATTGATGATCACATGGGATGGATTTTGTACCGTCAACTAAAAATACAGAACAGTCTTCTGTTAAAACAATCTTTACAATAGATTGATGGTCACATGGGATGGATTTTGTACTGTCACCTAAAAATACAGAACAGTCTTCTGTTAAAACAATCTTTAAAATAGATTGATGATCACATAGATTGGATTATGTTCAGTCACCTAAAAATACAGAACAGTCTTCTGTTAAAACAATCTTTACAATAGATTGATGATCACATAGATTGGATTATGTTCAGTCAACTAAAAATACAGAACAGTCTTCTGTTAAAACAATCTTTACAATAGATTGATGATCACATGGGATGGATTTTGTACCGTCAACTAAAAATACAGAACAGTCTTCTGTTAAAGATTCTTCAAGTAAGTAGACATAATAAAATTACCAAAAATAGCAAATTTTTATGTGTAATTTATGTATGGTTGTAGACGTTCGGAAAATAATATCAAACTGTCTTTTTAACAATCTTAGTATAGGACACTTTATGGAATGTTTTTTTTTATACAATTGGCATTACTTCATTCATCCAATCCCTTCTCTCTTCATTCATTCTGTTAGAAGAAGTTGTTGAAATGACTGACATGTATAAAGAAAGTAATCAATGTTAGGTAGTTTACCAGTAAGAAGTACTATCAAAGTCATCTATTTCACACCAGTCAAGTGTTGATAATTCTAAATCAATATTTCATTCCCTCAACAATTTCATTCTAAAAACAACATATCTCTTCCGTTGTTCTTCTCAGAATTTTTGAAAGATATTTTGACATTAGTTTTTTTTATTAAATTATATAAATTTGACAAGAATAGGTTCAGACTAATAACAAGCCATATCAAGCCATCAGATAGTATCCATTAAAGGGATTGTATAATGCGAGGGTTTTTCTACACTTTTATGTGTATTTAAGGCCACTGAAAGCTTCCATTTTTACCATTCCAATTTCAGTCAGTCTGTTCCTGCAATTCAACTAAAGGGACAGGTGTGCCATTTTGGGGGTTAATTTTGGATGTCTTAGCTATATATTACAAAGTATCTTAAATTGATGAGTCGACATTTTAACATTCAAACCCAAATAATTCTGGACACACATGGATTTGAAGGCTGTAATTTCGACAGTGAGCTGTGAACACTATTACTGATTAGCTCAGCTAAAGAAATCCAATTTCTGAGACTAAAATATGATTGGTTATACCTGTCCCTTTAAACTAAGCTTTGTATGATTTTTGGATATGTATGTATGTGGTTTGTTCCTTGTTGTTAATATAATAAAAGTTGCTTTTAATCTAATTTTTCTCTTCAAGAAAAGCTGTCAACATCTTGCACGGATTATTCTATTTTTGGTTAAATCCTAGACAATTTTTATTATATCTGCTTAAAAAGTTTAATAACTAAGCCATATAAAATATGGAATGTGTCATATAATATGTATCTTTCATAATTATTTTCTTTATCCATTCTCTTAAGTACATTTTGACATGATAAGGGACCAGCTTTTTTAAAGTTTCCAAGAAGCTTCAAGATTCAAACAATTATCTGCGTTCTCACTCATTTTGTCAATGATCAAAATTTATTTAAGAAAAAGACAAAAATATACAAATTATTAACTCTATAACATTTAGAGTCTAATGTGATTATCAAAAACTATAAGCAAAAACAAAAAATTAACTTTTGGTTTCCATGTACACAAGAGCCTTATCTTTCTTGCTCACATCTGCAGAAGAGTAAAATGCTGCAATTATCATAACTATCGTAACCTGGGCTTTATTACTGCACAAGCAAACACCAATAGGTGTACAGAATAATTTATAGAAAAGTGAGTCAGAACAGAAAGTGATTCCAACATCTCTGTTGACTGAAAACAGAATTCACAATGTTAGCCAAGATCATTGTTCACAGACAAGCTTTGATTGAACTTTCAGATGTTTTACTACACTTTTAATGGCACTTTAGGGGGAGAAGAGATAGCTTGAAAAGAAATAAGGACTTTAAGGGAACATCTTTTCCTGAGCCTTTATGATCGTTTAATTAGTAACTAAATGACATTATCCCTTTCTTTTAACTAATTATAAATTATTTAACTGTATGTAAGGCTAACCTCTGTCAACCCAGATGTTATAAAAACATAATGAAATGAAGCTGGTATGAGAGGAACTTATACAAGTCAGGTTATACCACCACATGAATTTATCATCAATCAGAAAATATTGAAAGGTTTTCCAGTCGATATCAAAAGCATTTAGAAAATTTTCTGCTCCAATTCATACATCAACAATGAGCCATTTCCTCAGGATCTACAGTTAAATCAGAGAAAAATCAATTCTGATACAGTCCTTCAGTTGGTGTTAGCATCAATTTCTAAGATATAAGATCATTAGGACAAATCACTCATCTTCCCATAACTTCAGCATAGAGTCTGGAACAATATTTCCATAATGTGTCCTTTTTGGCATCTTCCATAACATAAATATCCATTACTTATTATTACCATGGTACTTCAATCAAAAGAGTTTCATGACTTAATACTAAATATCCATTACTTATTATCACCATGACTTGATACTTCAATCTTAAGAGTTTCATCCATTACTTATTATCACCATGACTTGGTACTTCAATCTTAAGAGTTCCATGACTTAATACTAAATAACATTACTTATTATCACCATGACTTGGTACTTCAATCTTAAGTGTTCCATGACTTAATACTAAATAACATTACTTATTATCACCATGACTTGGTACTTCAATCTTAAGAGTTCCATGACTTAATACTAAATATCCATTACTTATTATCACCATGACTTGGTACTTCAATCTTAAGAGTTTCATGACTCAATACTAAATATCCATTACTTATTATTACCATGACTTGGTACTTCAATCTTAAGAGTTCCATGACTTAATACTAAATATCCATTACTTATTGTTACCATGACTTGGTACTTCAATCTTATGAGTTCCATGACTTAATACTAAATATCCATTACTTATTATCACCATGACTTGGTACTTCAATCTTAAGAGTTCCATGACTTAATACTAAATATCCATTACTTATTATTACCATGACTTGGTACTTCAATCTTATGAGTTCCATGACTTAATACTAAATATCCATTACTTATTATTACCATGA